AAAGAGATTTTCAAAGTAGGTGAAGCTAGTGATTTTGGTTTGTGCTATGAATTAATATGTTTGGCTTTCCACAGTGACTCATCAAATTCCTCCCGCCCCAGTTCTTTACCTCTTTGAAAGTGTTGTAATCCCTATAGCAACTTGATCAACCTGTTTCAACTGATCCCATTTTTGCGGTAATTAATTTCTCAATTTTGCTCCATTATTATAATTTCATGATAAATCCAATTCAGATTCCTCTCCTGTCCATTTACCCTTCAATGATATAGACCATTGTTTCTATTACTTACATTCCTTGACATCCATTTACCACATGCTTCCTAACTAAAAAACTCCCACCATACCATATCTAACTGCCACCTCTAAGTCCATTCCCTCCACTGATTGACACTTGATATCAGAACGTTCAATTGCATTTTGAAATCAGAACTTAATCATTAAAGTTTATCTCAATAGCAAGATTTTGATTTTTCAAAACTTCCCTGAATATCTTCACCCACCTAGCATTCTTCACACATCCTCAAGACTAAAAGAATTCCACCCTTAAACTTTGTTGAGTTGTGCAAGCTGATATGAATAAATGATGGTCATTGTTGGCTGAGAAATATTTGAAAAAAACTGCATGTTTCTGTTGATGGAAGAGATTGAGGAGAGTAGAAATCATTACAAAACCTTTTCTGCTGTGTACTTCACACCTGAACGTATATACCATGCCAGAAAAACAATGGCCCAACATTGGCAAACCACCCGAGAAGGCATAGCCAGCACTGGACCTCACACTGCAAATGCTGGTGATACCTGTGATCAAAATTCCATCTTTGGTCCTCTCAGTTTGCGGGCATTCTGATCATGCAATGTCAACTCTTGCCCTGTTACTGACTGAGGCCAAAATATACTGCATAATCTTATGATCTGAACAGAAAATAGAAGTTAATGGAGAAGATACAGAAGAAAGAACTCTTTGATAATCTGATAATCTGCTACTAGCAGTAATAATAAAAAACAAAATCAGAAATTGCTGGAAAAACTCAGCAGGTTTGGTAGCATCTGTGGAGGGAAAGCAGAATTAGCGCTTTGAGTCCAGGGACCCTTTTTCAGAACAGATCAATTGACCCAAAACATTAACTCTGCTTTCTGTCCACACATGCTGCCAGATCAGCTGAGTTTTTCCAGCAATTTCTGTATTTTGGTGTTGATAATAATAATAAGTATAGATCATAGAGCTGATGTTATTGCCATGTCACCCTATCCAAACTCATAGGAACAAGACTTGGGAATGGGAGAGCTCGGTTCGCACTAAACAACTGCACCTCCCAGTCGCGAACCATTTCAACTCCCCCTCCCACTCCTCAGACGACATGTCCATCCTGGGCCTCCTGCAGTGCCACAACAATGCCACCTGAAGGTTGCAGGAACAGCAACTCATATTCCTCTTGGGAACCCTGCAGCCCAATGGTATCAATGTGGACTTCACAAGCTTCAAAATCTCCCCTCCTCCTACAGCATCCCAAAACCAGCCCAGCTCGTCCCCGCCTCCCTAACCTGTTCTTCCTCCCACCTATCCCCTCCTCCCACCTCAAGCCCCACCCCCATCTCCTACCTACTAACCTCATCCCGCCCCCTTAACCTGTCCGTCCTCCCTGGACTGACCTATCTCCTCCCTAACTCCCTACCCACACTCACCTTTACTGGCTCCATTCCCGCTTCTTTGACCTGTCTGTCTCCTCTCCACCTACCTTCTCCTCTATCCATCTTCTATCCGCCTCCCCCTCTCTCCCTATTTATTTCAGAACCCCCTCCCCCTACCCCATTTCTGAAGAAGGGTCTAGGCCCGAAAAGTCAGCCTTCCTGCTCCTCTGATGCTGCTTGGCCTGCTGTGTTCATCCAGCTCTACACCTTGTTATCTCAGTTACTGAAGACTTTTGTCTTATCATAATTTATCTGTGTCTCAGTTCCATTTACCCATTTTTGGTTCATATTCCCAGATACCCTTCATAAAAGTCAGTCAAACTGTCTTGAAAATTTCAATACACCCAGCAGCCTTATCATTTGGAGGTGCAAGTGGAAAATGAGATAGAGCATTATACTGCAGCACAATTAAAGAATTATATCCAGTTTATTAACAGACCTCATAAGAACTATTTTAAACCATGCAGAATTACATGCCAATTTGAAAGCTCTGACAATTTTTCAGACTGGATAGTGACAAAACCAGCAGTACTAACTGGGACTTTTGTAGGCCACATGTGGTGGATGTTTCTTTCCAGGCAGCAAGGTTAGATTAAGCTGTTTCCTACCCAAATGACCAATGACAGCGTCATTACATCATGTGATCAGACCCATAAGGTGATATTCCACCACATTTACACAAATACATGGCAGTGGAGACAGGGAGAACTCGTGTGCCACGTTCAGAGTGCCAAATTAAGACTCTGATCACAACTACTTTATACTTACCCACCTTCCTTTTATACCTCACCACTCCTCATTTCATTGTTGGTCAGTGATGGTCATTGCCTGGCATTTGTGTGGCATGAATGTTATATCCCATGAAAGTATATCAGAAAAAATGCATATAGATTTAGATTCCGGAGGAGATATCATTAGCTAGATCATCCTCCCTTGCTGTGTAAACCTACTTTTAAAAAAATGGGCTAGCACTACCATGAAATGAAAACAGTGGATGGCAATCCTGCCTCTGCAACACTCATCAATAGCAGGAAAATCCAGTTTAGATCATACAAATTAAGATCAGGAGCAGACAATTCAGTTCCTCGAGCCTGCTCCACCACTTAATATGATTATGGTTGATTTCATTTTTTCACTTTCCTGCTGAATAACCCTTTAACCCTTTACTAATTAAAAATCTACCTGTCACCTCCTTCAATTTATTCAGTGTCAAAGTGTGCACTTTGCCCTGGGGTAGTGAATTTCACAATTTCATGATCTTTTGAGAAAAGTAATTCCTCCTCATCTCTGTTTTAAATCTGTCACTCCCCATCTGAAGACTATGACCTTTCATTCTAGATTGCCCCACAAGGGGCACCATCTGCTCTGTGTCTACTTTGTCAATCTCCTTTATCAGATAGATTTAGAAGATAAATACAAACAGTTTTTAATTTCAGAAACAACCAAATTCTACTCCTTAAATGTGTTGCAAAAGAGTAATTTTATTTATAAATATCTTACTTGGAATTAATGGAGAATAGTGAGATTTGTGTGGAGCATGCTAATATGCTAGGGCATTTTGAAATCAGGAAAGGAGTGGTCTTGGATCTCTTGAAGAGCATTGAGGTGGATAAGTCCCCAGGGCTTGATGGTAGCTACCCAAGGTTTTTGAGACAGGCAAGAAAGGAGATTGCTGGGGCCTTGAACAAGTTCTTTGTATCCTCGTTAGCCACTGGAGAGGTCCTAGAGGACTGGCAAGTGGCTAATATTGTTCCTCTGTTCAAGAAGGGAAATAGGGATAATCTAGGAAACTACAGACCACTGAGTCTCACATCAGTGGTTGGGAAGCTGTTGAAGAGAATTCTTAGGGATAGGCTTTACACTCATTTGGAAGAACTTGGCCTAATGAGGGACAGTAAGCCTGGCTTTGTGCAGGGCAGGTCATGTCTTACTAACGTGATTGAATTTTTCAAGGAGACGACGAAGGTGATCGATGAGGATAGAGCAATGGATGTTGTTTACATGGATTTTAGTAAGGCTTTCAACAAGGTCCCTCATGGTAGGCTCATCCAGAAAATTAAGATGCATGGGATCCACGGTGACTTAGCCACATGGATTCAGAATTGGCTTGCACGTAGAAGACAGAGGGTAGTGTTGGAAGGGTGTTTTTCAGGTTGGAGGTCTATGACTAGTGGTATTCTGCAGGGATCCATACTGGGACCTCTGCTGTTTGTGATATATGTAAATGACTTGGAAGAAAATATAGATGAGTGGGTTAGTAAGTTTGCAGACGATACAAAGATCGGTGGAGTTGTGGAAAGTGTAGAAGGTTGTCAAAGGATACAGCGGGGATATAGATCAGTTGCAGATATAAGTGGAGAAATGGCAGATGGAGTTTAATCCATGTAAGTGTGAGGTCCTCTACTTTGGGAGATCAAATGTTATGGAAAAGTATACACTTAATGGCAGGACCCTGAACAGCATTGATTTACAGAAGAATCTTGGGGTTCAAATCCATAGCTTCCTGAAAGTAGCCACGCAAGTAGGTGGAGTGGTAAGGAAGGCGTATGGTGTGCTTGCCTTTATTGGTCGGGTAATTGAGTCAAGATGTCATGTTGCAGTTTTATAATACTTTAGTTAGGCCACATTTAGATTATTGCATTCAGTTCTGTTCGCCACATTTCAGGAAGGACGTGGAGGTTTGGAGAGGGTGCAGAATAGGTTTACCAGGATGCCGCCTGGATTACAGGGTATGTACTATAAGGAGAGGCTAGAAAAATTCGGGTTGTTTTCTCGTCACAGGGGCAGGCTGAGGGGAGACTTGATAGAAGTCTATAAAATTATGTGATGCATAGATAGGGTTGATGATCAGAATCTCTTTCCCTGAGTTGAAATGTCTAATACTAGGGGGCATGCATTTAAGGTTAGAAGGGAGAAAATTCAGAGGAGACATGAGGGGCAAGTTTGTTTTACAGAGTGGTAGGGATCTGAAACGCAATGCCAGGTGTGGTGGTGGAGGCAGAATACAATAGAGGCATTTAAGGGACTTTTAGATAAGCACATGAATATTCAAAAAATGGAGGGATGTGAACCAGTGGCAGGCAGAAGGGATTAGTTTCATTTAGCATTATATTCGGCACAATATCATGAGCCGAAGAGCCCATTCCTGTGCTGTATAGTTCTATGTTCTATAGTCTATGTTAAAGTATTTAATTTTCCTGTTAGAGACATGGATATACTTTAATGCTGTACACTTGACATGAATTTCAACAGCAGTCATATTAATCACATGTTTGTGTTTCAGACGTTCTATTTTGTATTTTTTAACACAGAACGTAGACGAGTTGGATTTTCAGGGGATAGTGAAGAAGAACCTGAATCTTTAGTGGTCCACAGCCCTGTTAAAATAGATGTTCAGCTGATCAAGAAAAGTGAGGAGTTTGAAAAGGTAAAAAATGGTTTTGCAATGGAGTAACTGATTTTGCAAAATGAACACAAGACGTGTGAGCTTACCATACCCTATAGGCAATAAACTTCAAGTGGCTTTTCTTGGCCACGTGTCTCATACCCACAAATTGCGGAAACATTGAAAACTCACAGTTTACATTTTCCAACACTGAAGTCTAATAGATGAAAAAGCTAAATTTTCCCATTAATTTTATAAGAGACAAAGAGGTTGATGATTTGCCTTGTGATGATTAAACACTTGTCCATTGCTATGAAGGGATGTGCAGTTTTATATTACAAAAATTAACCTTAGTCAAAAAAAAATACATTTTGTGTAAATTTATAACACTGGTAAATTAAAACACTGTTGGTAAACCCACAGAAAATTTAACCAATATCTTGAGAGTGAAGTTTATAAAGTTTCATTAGGTAGCAATTGCGAAATGTTGATATATTTTGACAAAGAGGTTACCTCACTTGGCAGAAACAAATTGGGTGAATAGTTTAAATAGGAATGATTTGATTTTCAGCCCCATTCTTTTCAATATCTACCTTGATGATTCTCTTGATGTTTTCCTTTTAACCTGGCAACTGCCATAACCCTTTCATCCTGTGCCACTTTTCTGTGCTCCCTTATACCCCAACCCAGATTTAATATTGGCCAATAATGGTTATCACCTCTGGACATGGCTGCACGATGGGAGTACATTGACAACCATGATGTTTCAAGGAACATAATCAAGCAGGCAATTAACATCCTTCAACTGAACCACTCAGGAACAGCCATGTTGAGCATCACTGAGTGGGTATCCATATCAATTCAACAGTGCATAAAAAGGCCACTTTCAAGATTGTTTGGGCAATCTAGGGCAGTTCAGTCACTCTGTTCTCCCCCTTTATTTCAGTAACACTGCATATTTTTCCTCAAAGGCGCAACCACTTCCTTTTGAAACCATTGATTGCCTTCTCTTTTCCCATTCTCACAGTCAACAAATTCCAAAACATTACCACTCGCTATATATTCATTTCTTTCTGACAACGTCTCTGGATCTCTTGTCGCAAATTTGTGTCCTCTGTTCTGTTTGCTGAGGCTAACGAGGATAGGCATTTTTTATCTACCTGATGTAAACCTGTCTCAATTTTATCCACCTTGATCTGCTCGTCCCACAATCTCTTCGTTCAATGAGTACAACCAACCTTCTCGAATCAGTTTACAGTTTTCCGTCCCCTCTTGAATAGAGGGGTTACATTTGCTATTTTCCAATCTTATGGAACCTTCCCAGAATTTAGTGAATTTTGAAAAATTAGCACCAAAGTATCTGTTATCCCATTAGCCCCCTCTTTTAAGACCTTACGATGAAGTCCATCTGTTCTCAGAAACTTCTTGTCCTGCAACTCCATCAGTTGGTACGACTTGCCTTGTGATTGTAATTTCATTATGTTCATCACTCCATTCCACCTCCTGAGTTAGGGTTATACAAGAATATTTCTATATCCTCTATAATGAAGGTAGAAGCAAAATATTTGTTCAATTCAATTGTCATTTCCTTATTATCTACTATTAACTCCACATGTTCCTTTTCTAGAGGACTCACACGCACTTTACTTATCCGCTTGTTTTATTTTAAACATCTTTAAACTCTTGCTATCTGTTTTTACATTCCTAGATAGTTTCCTGCCATATTCTAAATTCTTCCTCCTGATTAATCTTTCAATCATTCTCTCCCACTCTTTATTCACCTACCAATCATCTGATGTGCCTAACTTAACGCAGTTATATCCGTTTCCTTAGGTTGATGCTTTCCCAAAATTCCTTAGTTCGTGTAAAGACCATATTTTTGGATTGTGGACTAAAATGGGAAAAGAACCATTTTAAAATGGATTACTGCAATTTTAAAAGCAAGTTACCTAACACTCATTGCAAATGCTGTTTACAGAGCTGTTTCTTCAAACAGAGGGCAAGCTGGAACCAGGGGACTGTGTACAAATGAAGATTTGTTCAGTAATTATTAGCCAATTAGTCTGTGAAGGATCATCTCAGCAAAACCAATGAACTGCTTTTCCAGTCTTTCCCTTTGTCCATAACAGCCATATTTTTTCCTGCTTGTGTCTGTCTGAATGTGTGGGCAGGAGTGGTTTAGAATGTGTTACAGTTTTAACATGTAGAGTTATACGCCAATAGTTCATAATTGTTTACCTGTAGTTGGAGTTGATTTATTTATTATTTTTGTTATCTATAGAAACTTGGTCCACGTTTTCTGTCAATTTGGTTCAAAACGACAAGTAAATTAGGAAATTCTGTATATTTTAAAAAATCTTTACCTTTTGTGATGACTCTTGGAATAGCTAGGCTTAATTTCTAACGCACTATCCTAGTGAGGCATAGCAAGAACCGCAGGTGATGGGTCCTCCCTTTAGAAAATTCATTTATAGGAGGAATACACTTATTATGAAATACCATACCCCTTCACATGTATGCCTCTGCATCTCTATGATTTATCCATAAATCGAATATACTAGTTCATTTCAGCTAATTTGGCTTTCAAGCCCAAACCGTTGCTCTTATTTAGGGTTAAAATGCTAATCCCATGATCAATCATCTTCATAGAATCATAGAATCACACAGTACCGAACAGGCCGTTCAGCTCATTTAGTCTGCACCAACAAAAAGCTAAATCTACTCTAGTCCCATTTTCTAGCACTTGGCCCATAGCCTTGAATGTTATGATTTTTCAAGTGCTCATTCAAATACTCCTTGAAAGTTGTGAAATTTTCCAGCTCAATTAACCTCCCAGAAAGTGCTCTTCAGACCCCCACCAGCCTTTGGGTGAAAAACGTTTTTCTTAAATTTCCTCTAAATCTCCTGCCTTTCATCTGGAAATTGTGTCCCCTTGTTATTGACTTTGTTCAGGGGAACAGCTGCTTTCCATCCACCCTATCCTTACCCCTCATAATCTTATACATCTGTATCAGGTCCCCTCTCAGCCTTCTCTGCCCCACAGAAAATAACCCAAACTTATCCAGCCTCTCTTCATAGCTAAAATGCTCTATTCTAGGTAACCTCCTGGTGAATATCCTTTGCATCTCCTCCAGTACAATTGCATCTTTCCTCTCGTATGTTGATCAGAACTGCACACAGTACTCCAGTTGTGGCCCAACCAAAGTTCTGTACAGCTTCAACATAACTTTGCTGCTTTTTTAATCTATGCCATAACTAATAAAGTCAAGTGTCCCAATGCCTTCTTAACTACCCTATTAATGTGAGCTGCTGCTTTCAGGGATCTGAGAACAAGCACCCGAATATCACTCTGATCCTCTGAGCTTCCTGGTGTTTTGTTACTTTGCGTCCTTTGTCTTGTTACTTCTTCCAAGCTCCGTCATCTCACATTATCAATGTTAAATTCCATCTGCGAGAGGTCTGCCCATCTGACCAATCTGTCTATGTCATCTTGTAATTTAAGACATTCTTCCTTGCTGTCACCCACCCGGCTAATCTTCATATCATTTGCAAATTTATTTATTATTCCCCCACATTTTCTTCAGTATTGTTATATATATCACCAACAATAAACCCAGCCCTGATTGCTCTGGTATGTCACGGACACTGGCCTCCAGACACACAAACAACCTTATACCACCACTCATTGCCTCCTACCACTAAGCCAATTTTGGATTCAAATTCAGTAACAAAAACAGGTGTTACTGATAAAGCTCAGCAGGTCTGTCAGCATCTGTGAAGAAAATTCAGAGTTAACATTTTGGGTCCAGTGGACCTGAAACGTGAACTCTGATTTTTCTTCACAGATGCTGCTAGACATGCTGGGTTTTTCCAGCAATTTCTGCTTTTGTTCCTGATTTATAGCATCTGCAGTTCTTTTGTTTTTATTTGGATTCAAATTGCCAAGTTTCCCTCGATCTCATAGGTTTTCATCTCCTTTATCAGTCTCTCATGCGGAACAAATCATATGAACTACATCAACTGCACTAATCTCATCTACACACCTGATCACCACCTTGAAAATTCAAACAAATGTTCGGCACAACCTCCTTCTGCAAAGCTATGCCGACTATTCCATATCAAACCATGCTTCTCCAAGTGGAGTTGGATCCTCTCCTTCAGCTTTTATTCCAATAGTTGTTTTCTACCACTATTCTGATACTCACTGGACTGTAATTCCCTGGTTAATGTCTACCATCCTACTTGAAAACTGAAACCACATTAACTGTCTTCCAATCCTCTGACATGTTTCCTGTAGTCAGACAGGAATTAAAAATTTAAGTCAGAGACCCTGTAATTCCTTCCCTTGCCTTCCACTGCAGCTTGGGATACAACTCATCCAGACCTGAGGATTTGTCCACTTTTAAGCCTGCCAAACCTACAATACCTCCTCACACCCTGTGTCAAACTACTCAAGCACCTCATAGTCCCTCTTTCTGGATTCTGTGTATGCATCCTCATTTTCCAAAACGAATACTGATGTGATGGGATCATTTAACACTCTACCAGTGCTCTCCAGCCCTTAGCCCTGATGGCCCCTATCCGAGCCTTGGTTATCCTCTTCCCCTTTAAATATTTATAGAATGTCTTGCAATTCTCCCTATCTTGCCTGCTGGTGCTTTCTCATGCCACTTCTTTGTTCTCCAAATTGCTTTCTTAAGATTCCCCCTGTGCTTTCTGTACTCCATTAAGGCCTCTGTGGATATGCTCCCTTTGTACCTGTTAAAATCCTGTCTTTTCCCTCCAATCCAGTTCTGAATATTCCTACACCTCCAAGGTTCCATGGGTTTGTAACACCTATATTTCACCCTAAAGGGAATCTGTTGGGCCTTTATTCTCAGCAATTTCATTTTGTATCAGCCCCACTGTTCTGCCATACATTTACCCAGAAGTAGCTGTTTCCAGCCTACTTTAGCCAGATCCTGCCTTATTTTAATAAAATCTACCTTCCCTCAATCCCAAATCCTCTCTTGCAGATCATCTTTTTCCTTTTCCAAAACAGA